CCTATCGCGTAACCTCGACTTTTGACGATTCCCCTTTTCAGGGGGATTTCCGGTAACGCCTGTTTGAATTGCACAATGCTGAAATAACGACCAAATTTGTAACCCGACCTTTCCCTCTTACGCGGAAGAAGAGCGTGTTTTATAGCTGTGCGACACGTTCGCGCTAAAGAATGCAAAGTCTTATAAGACACAATACACAATCCATTATTTTTTGCATTCCCATAACGAGGCGCCTACACGCGTGGGTATCTTCGATTATGGCGTCGGAAAGGTATCGAAGAAGCTGCGGGTTAAATTTTTTGTAAAAAGAGAACGTCCCACTGAAATAGCGATGTAACGATGAACCAACTCGATCGATTATGACACGTCACATATCTGTTATGCATTCGACGGGTGAATTTATGAAGACGAATTTATGAGGATAAATTAAATGTGCCCCACACATTGCGTCATTTTGGAATTATTAGTATCAATTCTCGAAATAGTAAATAATTGAACACCGTCTGCAGAGCCAATTCCCAATTGTCCGTTGTCATTTATTAAATTTGTTATCTCGGGAATTTCGTTGATATTGTTATCCTTTAAACAATTTCTAGTAGAACATCTTTTCGCAGGAATCCACCTTTCTGCATAACGCACCAGATCTCGATACAAACAGCTGTAAATCCCGTATGATAAAAGAACGATGTTGATGATTTTTTCATAATGCAAAACTATTGTAATTCTAATTAAAATCATTCGCATTTCTAATAAATAAAACACGTAAATAATATTGTTTCAATTTATGTATCTTCTTGAATTATATTATTTTATCCTATTTATAATTGTTTAATATACTGTATAAATAGTAAACGAGAATGGATTAAAATAGATTAAAATTTTAGTCTACTTGAATCTGAATACGTACTTTAATAATTCATGATCCATTTTTATTTTTTTTAAATTCAATTGGAAAGCTGCATTTCTTTTTAAAAATTGAACGGTATTCATAATGTATTCAAAGAACTAAAATATTTTTTAGATTGAAAGGTATATATGGTAAATGTGCTCATGCAATTCTAATAAATGAATAAAAATGGGATTAAAATGGATTCATTTTAACGATCATGAATGCATACTTCCGAAAATTTGAATCCATTTCAATTCGGTCTCGTTTATTGGGTGAAGAAGACTCAAAATGGAAGACTGTAAATATATGCAAAGCAATGCATTTTTGCATGGAAATTAATTACGAAAACAATCAGTGATAAAGTGCGATACAATGTAGAGAGTTGTTACTTTCTGATCAATAATTGTGAATTGATGTGAAATTTTTGGCAAAGGAATGGAGACTGCTTTTTTATTTGCAACTATTCGCCTAAAATAACTTCGAAACAATTTTAAATCGCGTAATTACGTCGCGACGAAAACTCGCAGGGTATTTAATTAAGTTAAAATTACGATTGCCACATAATTTTACAAAAGTTACTTCGACACTGTAACTTAACTGCCTACACACAAGGCCACAATCTTTATTATGAGATTATTCGAGAAATTACCGGTGTTATTTTTACACGAGTATATATATATATATATATATCCTTTTTTTATCACGTGAAATTTTGGCGCGTGGGCTCTGATGTAATTCATGAATCATTATTGTAATCGTTTAACGGGTCGAAAGTCGACGGCTGTCACGATGCAACGTCACGTTTTTATCTGTACAGGATATTCAGTAAACGATTTTACATCACGAAGACACGTGTTCCTCATGGAATTTGAGGTAACCGAAACTTCCTTAGCGAAAGTCCTAAATTACAAATACGGCATTGAAAAAAGTTGTGGTTCACTTAAATCAGATTTCCAAATCATCTTCAATCCAAACTCGATCTTGATCTATTCTATGCAAAACTTGCCAAATCTAGTTTGCATTTATGTCGTCAATCCGCTTTATGCATTTTTACGCGATTGGAAGATCCAAAAAAATAGTAAATGGATTTCAACAAATTTTTTTTCTCCTTTTCTCAAACTCGATAAACTTTAATGAATTCGAGACTGAAGATGTATAATATCTGTCTCGATATTTCAGTCAGATTTCACAAATATTCTGCACGTGTTTTACGAATTCTTGAGGAAAAAACATTCTAAATTTCTTGCAGTGAAATCTCACTCCAAGAAAGTGAAAATACAATCACCCTTCACTACTTGAAAAAAAGTGACAATTTTCACTCTTTTTTAAGAAGTGAAATATTTTCACTTTTTTTGTGAAGAATGATTGTATTTTCACTATCTTGGAGTGAGATTTCACTGCAAAAAATTTAGAGTGAAGGAGAATCTTCGAGAACGTACGTAGAACGAGATAAATAGCGCTTTCCAAAGTATATGACCCTCATGAATATTTCAGATGTATCGGAATGATTTTTACTTGTCGACGAAGCGACGTATATTCGCATGCATATTCGCGCTTGAGGAGGACACTTTAGAATCAATCTCATCAACGAGATTACCTAATCCCATTTGTATCCGAACAACCAACTTACGAACACGTAGTAAAAAAAATTGATCAATTACAAAGAAGAATGATGGAATGGTACAAAAAAATCTGGCACGAATAGATCAAACCTTTGGAATTCGGACCGATTCAAGGCTCTATAGGTCGCTATCCCACGTTCGTCTCATTTAATTCATACTATATTTTTCTCAAAATTTATAAATTATGAAAAAACTCTACATGGAAAGAGCGATTTTGCTGATGTACTTAAAAATTTAACTAGAGATACGAATCTGAAAATAATTTTTATCAAAATAATCATGCAGGAATCTCAAGATGATATTTTAACAATCAGTTTGAGTGTCTTACACAATTATTTTAACGATTCAACAAAATTATTTTCAGATCTGTATCTAAAATTCTCAGATATTTCAGCAAAACTGTGCTTTCCGGGTACTATATATTCGCCTACGGATTTTATTTATTGGTATTTAAAATTAGCATCTTGAAATAATTTTGACAAACAGAAGCGCAGAGGGTGGGCAGACCCTTGAAATGGGTTTCGTGTCGTGAAACTCTTTTTTACGTTCTCTCCCATAAATCTGGCGCGCGATTTTTGCGTCCAATTATTGGACGCAGCACTAAATTATTCGTGCTGCGAAAGAGACGGACAAAAGGCAAATAGATAATTTCCTCTGTCGTCACAGTAACCAGTATACTGAAAAAAACAATTACGAAATTTGAATAAATATTTGTTTAAATAGTACCAATAGGACCATTTGCTTACAGAAATATTTATTCGATTTTAAAAAATGATACTTAAATTAAGTATAATTTTCTTAAATTGAACAAATATTGAGTACTATCTAAACAAATATTTATTCAAATTTCGTGAATTTTTTTCAGTGTAAATAAATAGCGACGTGATTTAAAAAATATTAAAATTTATTGTAGTTTATTCAATCATTTATGCCTGCCGGATAGATCTTCAACTAGCCATCAATATATCAAACGACATTCCGTCGGTTCGGACGCGTCCGTTGAGGATCATAAAATTGCCCATTTCTAATCTACCGAAATTAGAAGAGAGATCGCAAACCTTCCTTAATACTTTTCGAATTTCGCATGCACGCGGAAGAAGTGGAACTCGTTTTCTTAGGGTATTTTTAGGCACACTGTTCATATACACGCTCCCTCATGGCGGCTATTAATTTTTATTGATGAAACACATTAATCTCAGCGTACGTTTTTTTCCTCGCTGCCGAGTACACTGTTATTGCAAGTTGCGGTCGAGAAAATATTATTGATTAATTGGAGAGTCGCCGGTTATGTGGGCCATATTTAATTGTTACTTATCTCGAAAAGGGACTCTCGTCTTCCGTGTTTCGAAAACGTCGCGCGATCGACCGGAGAAAGGAAGCGAAGAATACTTAACGTTAAATCTCTAACGTCCTACATTCCGACATTAATTTTGGAGCAGGTCGATATCTACGGCGAACGGACGATTTTTCATCGCCAGCGAACATGATTTTGCATTACAAAAAATTCAAGAAACGCGAATGTTTTCGCTTCATTTTTGAAGAAACTTAAATTATTATTTATAGAGAGTGTGCAAGTTCTTATGTCCGTCTCAGACTGGATATTGAGATTGAATTTAACTAATCAGAAGAAAGGAAATTAATATCAAGTTTAGTAAACTTTGCTTTGAGTGGTCAAATTCAGTCTTAATCCTAATCTCAATCTCTAGTTTATGATACGAACATTATAAATTATCCATTACAATCTGCACTCAGCATACCACAATTGGCGATCTTTCTACCCTTTCAATCTTTAATTATTTTAACAAAATATAAAGATTAAAGTAAATAATTGAACCGCTTTCGGTTATTCAAAAAAATTGATTTGCCTGATATTGCAAACTTCACCCAACAAGCAGATTATTCTCTTCCACTATTAGCAGTGAGAATTGATATTACTCTTATTATCCTATTCCTTGTTATTATCAATTATTCTTTATGAAAGTAGAAGCATTTTTGCAAATTGATTGAATAAACGCCGCTGCCCAGTTGACACCAACTAAAAATAACATCTATGTTATAATTTCGCACTAAATAATATCATACGTTATATTACATTTATATTATTGAGTGCGAAATTATAATTAATACAGACATAATGTTACTTTTAATTGATGTTGACTGGGTGAAAAAGTACCCACTGCAAATTGAAAATACCGGAACACGATTCGGTACAATCTCGACAAATTTCGCTGCGAACAATACTTCACTCGCGGACAATTAAAACGCGACAGTTGACGCGCAGGTGTACCAAGAAAGTGTTTTTTTGATGTCCACAGCATCCGGTGTCGGAGCTTGTCGAAACGTTTACGGGTTTCGGTACTTGGGTACTTCAAGTACCCTCGCGATGATTGTGCGGCCTAGCAGGATAGGCGGCGCGATAAGTGCGACGAAGCGTGAGTTACTCTTGCACACCCTCGTGCTCGACAAACAAATCGAGTGCGTGTACTTACTTAATGTGTATCCTCCCGCGGAGTATACGTGTGTAACGCGCGTGTCGCTTAAAAGAAAGTCAATATAACTGACGCTGGTTTCGTATCCCTTCTTCTCTTATACCATCCTCCGGATCTGGCCAGTACCCCCCTACCATTTTGGTGTGCGGATCGCCGCTGTCCTTCGATATCCTATGCCGGTCAACACATCACATTGATTCCTCTCGGTCCATCCGAGATACCTCACCAATTTTATTCCCGGCGCTCTCGTCCACGGCTGCAGGCTGCTGCAGACGAGACGGACGCGCGCTGACATTATTCATGCATGTCGAATGTTTCCACGGGGTGACGGATGCTCGTCTGATGAATGAAACTTCTCATTCTAAAAATAAAAAGAGGATAAAAGCATTTTGTGTACATATCAAACTACAATCGAATACAATAGTGTTTTCAAGCACCGAAACTGAAACTCAAGTATAATAATAATAACAATAGTAAGAATATAACGATGATATAATAATGTAATAATATATAATATATAATATATATAATAATAATTTAAATAAGTCTCGGTCATCTATACACAACGCAGATGTATAGTCGCTTTGTTATCTATGCGAATTCCTGAATCGCGCTTTATCAAAAACCACTTTCTTTTTCATCAATCGTAACGTGAAAATTATTCCTACGTCGATATTACCGTTAAGGAAAAGTCGTTCCACTGATCGGCGATAAATATCACGCCAAACGACTCACTTCCGTCACGTCTGATTATGTCTTGTCTTTGCGCTCATCTGGCGCATTCCTAAGCTACTCCCTAAACGCGTTGCATCTCGCAAGTGTATGCGCAGATAAGTATTTTGCGAATCAAGATTTCTTTTCGGTGTGACGTAACTATTACGTTTGTTTCATATGCCGGATAATAATGACGATGTATAATAATTTTCAATAACAATCCTAATAATAATAAAAAAGTGAAAATAATTATGATAACATTGACCTACCTAGACTACTACGATGACTGAGTCCACTGATTCATGCAAATTTTCCTGTGACAAATCGAATTGTAAGAATGATGAGTCAGTTGTCGATCACTAGATTTTATATCATGCGATTGAAAATACTAGGAATTATATATTGACAAAGTACAGAGCGAGAAAGAGATCTTGAACCCATTTAAGACGCTTTATAACTCGCGCTAGATTTCAAAATGGAATTTTCTTTATTTGTAATTTGAATTGTATATACCGTGCATTTTTATTTTGTATACATATATTTTAATACATATTTTGTATAGAGTGCATTAATGTGTATCTTAATATATATTTTATATGTCACGTATTTATGTATTTTTGACGAACCACATTGTAATTTTTCTTTTTATTTAAAATAATCTAATTTTAAGAAAAATTAGGACATTTTGATTTAATAAAAATGTTTTTCAAGACTAACTTTTTATTTAGCTTGAATTAATTTAATCTAAGTTAATTTTTATTCATTCAACTTTTAACGTATCTAAATTAATCCTGTTTTACCAATCAAATGCGAGCCGGTCTCACCAACTCCGATTAATCTAATCGATCGATTAAATGTTAATCGTGATTGATCAATTCTGCTGAACAGCAAATGCGATCGGTCAGTTCCAACGTAACAATCGATCGATTAAGTTAGTCGGAATTGGTGAGATCGGCCCTTACACACGTAGTTTGCAATACAAACATATGATTTACGATTACATATATCGACATCTTACTATACACTATTGCTATATAAAAGAATTACTTAGTGCCGAGATGGCTATCTGATTAATTCCGCAGTGTGTAAAATTACTTATCTATAAGCGAGAGAGGTGTCAGATTACTTTCAACAGATCTATCGATAGATTTCGAATTCATAATTAAATTGATAAGACATGATCATACAACAATAACATTATCATCATAAAAATCGTCATTTTATAAGTTGTAAATACCATGTTAGGAGTTAAAAAAAATGAAAGGATGGGTTTCGCGGTCATGGCGGGTATCCCAATGATCCATGCAGAGATCCGGAATAAAACAGCGTTGCAAAAAAGATAAAAGAAAAAAGAATGAGACCGAATATAAATATGTACACGTAGGCGGATGTCAGAATAATCAGGGATGCCATTTCACAGACACTTACGGCATGCTACACGTCATGTGAAGGGAATAAGCTGGCAAACGGTGACGTCGGTGATGGTAAGCGCCAACACTATGTCAACTAAAGCGTGTCATATTACGTATTGGAGACTGAGGATTGCGAATTAAATTATTATCGTTTTTCGACGAAATGTCTAAATTTTTCGTTTCGTTTTCTATTTCTGTCTTTCTAAATAACTATTCCCATTATCAGATATATTATTAATTTTATTTAAATCTAACTTCGATTTCAACGGTAAATTAATTATTTTTTTTTCTGTTTCAGATTCCTCTTCGGATTTGAGTTCCGGCTTCATTTCAATTGATTTCCACACGGGTCTCGCATGGCAATTGACACTTATCCATGCATCAGTAATTCTGCTTGTTGAAATGGTAAATTATATCGGTTTTTTCTTCTTGTATTTCTTGTTTATTTTTAGTGATAAATGATCTCTGAATAAGTCTCGAGCTTTCTTTTCTAATTAACTTCAGCTGACATCCGTCAGAAAATTATAACTTTTTTCCTCCGTTAGAGTATCTTGATTTTTGAAATTTGTTCCTATTAAATAAAATATGTTTCATTAATATTATGTAGATCTTCACGGTTCTCTCCCGCACTTCTTCTGTTATTGACCGATCTTAATTTCATCAGTAAAGTCGGTATGGGGTTTGAATTATCTTCCAATCCAATCTATTGTTGAGTCGGTAATGTATTCATCACCGCTGTTCATTTCATTATTCTCTTCGCTACTATAAGCACTATTGAATTGACTATATTAATCGTTTCTTGCTTTTTCTCTTGTTCAATGGGTTCCAACCATTTGACTTCGTTTTCCACCGTTACTTTTTCTTCTTTTTTATTTTTGATGCCAGTTTTAAGTAATTCTTCTATATTATTCTCGGATGACAAATTATCACCATCGTCCACTTTCAAAACGTTTATTTCTTGCTCCACTTCAATTTCTTCTTCTGCGCTAAAGCTATCTTCTTTGCTTTCTCCGATGGAATCGTATTTTACATTAACGTTTTTTTCGTCTTCTTCTGACTCCGTTTCTGCTGTATTTGCCTTTTCTTCCTGGTAGTTTGGTTTCAATCTAGGTTGACGGTGTAGTCTAATGGTGTAACTATTGTAAGTTATAAACTCTATATAGTTCCTCCTCCCCCCCTCAAACTATATGTATCTTATGAATCGTATATATTATATATATATATATATCTACTATTGTCCGATCGTTTGTGCATTTTAATCCATACTAGTCTCATTCATTTTGTCATTCATCTTTAGATGCTCAGTAGCCAATAAAATAATTCGTAGAGCATCTGAAGATAAATTTAAGAAGTCTTAAATACAAGTCCCGACTGTAAATACGAATATAAAAGTTGAGAATTTATTTTACAATAGGTTCTTTTTGACTGAACTTTTGCACCAGTTCTTTCTTTCTCTTCTTTTCTCCTGAAGAGAAAAGAAAGAAAAATGAACTGGTTCAAAAGTTCAGCTAAAAAGAACAGGCCTATTGGTAACGCACGAGATGATTGCGCAAAAATCGAAGAATCGTATAGTCTGGAAAAGTCAAAAGATAATCAAACTAAACAAATTTAAATAGTCCCGAAAATATCATTAAACTTGTGATACATTTGTAATAATTGTATAAGATATTGATATCTCATATAATGATATCTTGGCTCTCAAAGCAGCCTTAAAAGATAACTTTTATTTTAAAACAAATTTGAGAGTTATATAATTATGAGGAATAAAAAATGCACTTTTTATTCTCTCTTTCCTCGTTATTATTTATTTAACATTAATATTTTTTGTGTCAAACGTAAGCTTTGTCAATTTTTTATCACATGCATTTAGTTCATTATAAGAAATAATTTAAAATAAGTTTTAAATCTATACAAATGCAAAATTTCTAAAAATAGTACATTTTTCATGTAAAAATATACATTTACATTGATACATTTTTTAAATTATATATTGTACTATCAATACTATCAAACAATAAAAAGGAAAAAGAAATTAAAGATTTAATACAACTTTAATTTTCCTATAATGAACATATTGTGAACAAAATATATAATTAATGCATTACATAATGTGATACATACATAACATGGCAAGGTATGTACAAAACTTATAGATGGTAAATTAAATCGTGATGATTGTTACATATATCTGTTGTGTTGTAGATTCAGTCCTTCAATTGTGAGAAAAAACAAAAATTGTATATCACAAGGTATTTTAAAGATCCTAAATTTAACTAACTACAAATTACACATAATTTTATATCACACAAGACTATGATAATATATATTACATTAAATTTTACTACACTGAAAAACTTTCTCCACATCCACATGTCCCTTTAATATTTGGATTATTGAATATAAATTCGGAGCTTAATTTGTTTTCGGTGTAATCCATTTCTGTTCCAAGAAGAGATAGCTGTGCCTTTCGATCGATGAATATACAAACACCATCCTGAATCACCTCCTCGTCAAGCTTAGATTTTTCTTTTGCATAATCTAAGGTGTAACTCAAACCATTGCATCCTCGTTGCCGTACTCCAACTTTCAGACCAATCTGTAAATCGAACATAAATATGAATTCTTACATTACATTTTAGTACATATTCTTAAAGCTCAAACAACTCGTTATAAAGCCTTATATGTCCTAATTATTAAAATTACACATACATTTCTCAATTACTGTTATATAATTCATATATTACACCTATACTTACATATTCGCTTTTATCCTTTAAAATCTCTTTAATTTTTTTAACAGCATTGGGTGTCTAAAATGTAAAATGTTTCCTCATCAATATTTACGTAAAATGTATCCTTGAAAGTGATAAGGTTATTATTCATTTTGGCATGTCGCAATGTTGTGAAATAGTAGAGCACAAGCAATTACGCAATTAGAATTAAGACGCGTCGCAAAATCCGTTATTAAATGCAATGGCAAAGTAAACTCGTACGAAGAATATTCAACATTTTTCTCCAAGCTTCTTTATTTTTGTTTTCTACGCGGACGCGTTGAAAGATTGCAACGCGAGTACGGAAATCGGACGAGCAATTGCTTTAGTAAAAAAGAAAGGGATGTGAAAAGCGGTAAGGCGGGAGTATATAATTGATAACACGCTAACCAGGATGAGCGCAGCGCGAGTCGGAAGAATTTTTCTTCCTGTCACAGCTCGTATCGTAGCGGTCGCCACCGTGGTGGATGCCATTTTAAATGAACCGATGAGCGACGGATCTGTCACTCTGCCAGCTGATCGATGTCACGTGCACATTAAGCCGCATCCGCAATGCGAATGTAAAGTCACATCCACATTACAAATCACGCGAGCCTTCCAATTGCACTTTCTGTACCGTTTTTCTGCCTTCTTTCTGTCTTTCCTTTTTTTCTGTTCTGCGTTTCCTTTTTCACCTAATAAATTTGAAAATTAAAAGGGGATGTCCATTGAAAAGTTCACGGTACTCTGAGCTTCAAAGTTGTGGGATCGCAAGGAGGGTTATCAAATTAAAATATTCCTGATTACTCAAGCTTCCTAACCTATCTCGTATATTGCATTCTGCACTCGAGATTTTCAAGTACGGATGTTGAGAAATCGCAAATTGGTCGCTGATCTATAAAATCCGGTGTACTCCAGATGTACTCGTCATTCTAATAAATTTGCCGACTGTTGCTGACTCACAAGCGATAAAAAAATATTCGAGATGGTAAAGAGCAATTTTTAAAAAATTATATTTGATTAATTAATATATATATATATATATATATATACGTCGATATTGTTCCGATTTTATTCCGCATTAAAGGAATTTGTGCTATTTTATTAAGCAGATGTGCAATTATGACAGATAGCTTATCAGTTTAATTTATATATGTTTGAAAAATAATATTTTTAGCACGGCCGAGTGAAGGTACGTACGACAGTGGGACAGGAGGAAATAAAGAAACGGGAAAGAGCAGTCAGAGTGGCCCAATATAAGATTGACATTGCTACAGTATTCCAAAAGGTTTCAACTTACTTCGTCATGTATACAAAGTAACACTTGTTATTGCAATTTTCATATCATTATATCATTTACATTTCAGAGGAAAGATAAGGAATGGGATGATGAGCTATTGTTAGTCACCAAGCGTATGCTGTTGAGCAACTCGGACATTTATACACTGTGGAATATCCGTCGTGAATTTTTCAAGAATAACGAATGGTAATTAATGAGGCATTTAATTAATGAGGTGAATGAAATTAACTTAATGATGAAATTGTAGGAATGATGATTATAAACAGCTGCTTGAGAATGAAATGAGTCTGACCGAGCAGTGTCTCAGAGATAATCCCAAGTCTTATAGTGTATGGCATCAAAGGTGTTGGGTGATGGAACGGATGTCTGAACCAGATTGGAAAAAAGAATTGTCCCTGTGTGCAAAATGCCTAAATATAGATGAAAGAAATTGTTAGTATGTCATATTTATATGTATATTGCAATGTATACTTATTATATAGCAACATCACTTCCAGATAGCAAGTAGTTGTTTGACATCATTGTTTTTTTGCCATCAAAATGACAAATAATGTCACCTTGCTATCTGAGCTCTTTCAACACAAATTGACACATATTTGAAGATACATTTCTTTTTACTGTAGTTCACTGCTGGGATTACAGAGAGTTTGTTGTGCAAAAAGCTGGGATCTCTAACGAGGAAGAGTTTGAATTCTCCACCACAAAAATATTGAATAACTTTTCAAATTATTCGTCTTGGCACTATAGAAGTCGAATATTAACTAAGATGTTTGACTCTACATCTGAAGAAATACCAATTGTAGATGATAAATACAGAGAGGGTAAATGATTTGTAATTTGTGCTCTGTATTTTATATCCAGTAAAATAACAATGTAAGATAACGATATATTTTCCAGAGCTTGATCTAGTCATGAATGCAACATTTACCGACCCAAATGACACTAGCGCATGGTTCTATCAGAGATGGCTCCTAGATAAGTGCATGACAACTTGTAGACTATGGCGTGCTCAAATTACGAAAGATACCGCAATTGTCGTTATTGACAATAATATATTGATTAAATCAATTTTACTTTCATTAATTGTAAATGGCGAAACTATTGATGCGCAATGGCAATTACATCCGGATGAAAAATTTGCCAAGCTACGAATCGCAGAGTTTGCAAGATCGTTAGAAGATTTGGATAGTGCCAAAGAAGTTTCTATAAAACTGCAAGACACAGTATATCAACTTTCGTATTCAGAGTTAGAAGGTGCATGGATTTACAAAGATAATTCAAGCTTGAACAAACAAAATAGCAACGATAAACAATTAAATGAACAATTAAAGAGCTATAACCAACTTTCCGAAATGGAACCAAATAACAAGTGGGCCTTACTAACTAGTACATTACTGATGAAAAAGATTGATTTCAACAAATTTTATAATGATATATTAAATAATCTATTGGCGCTATCAAAAATCGATAGTCTTCGTAAGAATTATTACAAAGATTTGCGTAAGTAATGTTTTTTATAATGAAATATTCATAATTTTTCTTTTTTAGTAATACTATTGTTTGTTTTTTATTTGCTTATTATACATGCTTCTATCAATATTATCTGTTCTTTTAGGAAGCAAATTCTTAGCGGAGTATAAACTACTTGAAATGTGGAAAGAAGAAAACGATTTAGAAATACAGTCAAAGATTGATTTATCAGGATTAGACTTGACAAAATTGCACAATAATCACTACTTTAGTTTCTTTAAAGAAGTGAATCTTGGTGCAAACCAGTTAGAGAATTCTTTATATCAGCTTTCCACATTACAACGATGCGCGAAACTGTCACTGTCCAGCAATGGCTTAACATCATTAAAACGTTTTCCTACTCTATATAATCTCGAAATTCTCTCTTTGAGAAATAATAAGTTAGTGAGTACGAAGGAAATAGTCAACTTAATAAAACGGCACAAAAATTTAAGAAGACTAGATTTACGAAATAATCCAATATGCCAAGAGATCGATATAACTAAAATTCAAGACACAAGTTCTCACGTGGAAATACATTTACAATAACGTCAGGAAATATACTTAATAGACAATATATTAAAACATATTTAATAATTGTAATTTTTTATGTAATCTATCCGCTGTTTTTACTGTTTTTTATCACAAGAATATTAAATCAAATTCAGATATGTTAGTATATATTGTGAATGATTTTATCATAGCAACTTAATTGTAAAACATAATCTTTCAGTCTAGCGTCAGAAAAGGTTCCCATACATCACTACATTATTCTTTTTGTTTTATATATCTATAATAAACTCTATATAAATACAAATTAATAAAATTGCGATAAAAGATTATCATCGAAAATTTTTCTTAATCGAATCACTACCGCACTCGAAGTTTATTAAATGTTTTCCGCATAAATAATACTTGAATCACATTTCTCTAACTTATACTATATGTTCTGATAGTAACCGGAATTCAATTCGGCCGGAGTTAAAGATGAATCACCTGTGCTGCATGGGATTGTCGGAATATTTGATCCTTGAATCGTAAAGCCGTGATAATCTTCTGAGCTAATTGGTTTCAAAACGGGTGGTAGATTTGCTTCGGGTGTAGGGCACTCGTCTAATAAGCTGTCTGTCATATGTTTTTTAAAGAGTTGGGTATCACCAGATGCAAGATCAGACTGAGTATCTAAACTGATAAGACTAGTCTCGTCCTCGCCTTTGCTAACTTCCAAACTATCATCGCCAATGAAGGATGGAAAGTCAAATGTTGGAGATGGCGTTACAGAATCTTCTACTAGTGACGTTCTCATTAAATCACTCGACAAATCCATCATTACGCCGCCATTCATGTTATCGACAGAATGCGGATATATCTATTAGGAAATTTAAAATGCTTCGTGAGATATAATTTAAAGAGAAAAATTACATCTAATCTTCGCCTATTATATCTAATTTTTACCTGTGGAATAATCGGTGGCGGTAGTTGATAGCTCTCAATATCCTCGCTATCTAAATTAGTAGGTACTCTTTGACTATGCGATATTAATAGTGGTGTTCTCTCAATTACTTTATCCACATCCTCTCTGATCTTCTCTTTGAAATCTATCATTTTATTTTTCAGTTCTTCCGCTTGCTTTATAATATCGGTATTTTTAGCTTGCAAGTCATCCAATAAAGTTATATCTTCACACATAAAGTGTAAACTCTGCAATAATTAAACATTACATAAATTAAACATAAATTTAACATTATATTATATAATAAATTACATCCATGAGTAATCAATCCTCAACACAAAGATATATCACAAATATTACTTCGCATATCATAAGAGCTGATTCCCATGTGTTAGCTGGAACACATTCCCCTGACATATATGCATTGAAGTCCTTCTCAGCCATATTTAAAGATTCCGCGGTTAAGTTTTCGATAAATGACACCGCGCAACACTGTAATGTTACGAATAGATATTAAATTAATAATAATCTTCTCTCTTGCCTTCAGAGATAACGCAAAAGAAATTTGCGAAACTCCTAATATACAGGGCATTTTAATCACCCCAGGCGAATATCTCAGAAACTAAAAGAGATACAAGAAAAAGTTTTGTATGAAAGTTGTAGGTTTTCTTAGGGGAAAGAAGGTGGACATAACGGGTTTTGGATAGGGCGCACTACCAAAATCAGGTCAAGGTCAACATGAATTTTTGAAATAGAAACCCCAATTTTTTATTGCATATTCTTGTAGCACACCTCGAGAGCTTTCCAAAACGCTATAATAAAATATTTTATCATGTACTTTTCGAGTTATAAGTCTTGAATGTTATAGTTTTGCCAGCAATAACATTACCCAAGGTGTCCAACCGACGGCTAAAATCTTTTAAATGTTGTTCAGGATCACGACCTGGATAACATTTGTCAAGATCAAGGTCATTGGAGGTTCCTCTAATTTTTATTTTTTCACTAAAAATTCATTTCTACGTAAAAATGAAAATAAGAAATACAATCTCCAATGGCCTTGATCTTGACAAATGTTATTCAGGACAAGATTCTGAACAACATTCAAGAGGTTTTAGTCATCGGTCGGACACCTTGGATAATGCTAATGCCAGCGGTAGTGTAACATGCAAACCTTATAACTCGAAAAGTGCTTCATGAAAAAATATTATAGTGTTGGAAAGCTCTCGGGGTGTGCTACAAGAATATGCAATAAAAAATTGGGGGTTCCATTTAAAAAATTCATGTTG